TTAAGTTAAAAAAAAATAAAACAAAAACTAAAAGTAAATCACTTAGACTTTGCCTCATACCACGCCCCCCAATTATCTCCAAATAAACTCAGACCTAAATGTAAAAGCTAATTCAACACAATTTCTAGAAGAAAACATAGGAGAAAAAGTGTTCCTGTGCTTGGATTAGGCAAAGAGGTCTTGGAACATTGAAAGCATGAGCCATACAAGAAAAGACAAATTGGACTTCATTAAAATGAAAAAGTTGTGTGATTTAAAAGACACCATTCAGAAAATGAAAAGACAGCCGCGGAGTAGGAGGGACAGTTTGCAAGTCAGACGTCTGATAAAGGATTTGTATCCAGAACATAGAAAAAAACACTTGCAACTCGATAATACAACAGACTACTTAATTAGCAAATGGGAAGGAGAGTTGGATAAACATTTCACTAAAGACGCCCATGAATGGCTAATAAGCACATGAAAAGTTGCTCAACATCATTAGTCATTAGGGAAATGCAAATCAGACCCACAATGAGATGCCATTACATCCACACTCAAAGGGCTCCGGCAGGAAAGGCCGGCCATACCGCGCAGCGCGTTGGAGGCCGGAGAGAACGGGACCTTTACCGGTGACTGGTGGGAAAGCAAAATCCGAGAAAGGCTTTGGAGGACAGTGTAGAAGTTTCTTGGAAAGCTACCCCGTCTGTGCGGTGACGATAGATCAAGGCCCACAGATCCCCAGTGAGGGCAGAGAAGTGCGAGCCAGTGGCTGTGAACACCACCGCGCGGTGACTCCAGCAGACAYGTTCCCTGCAAGCACGGGGGGCGTGTTTCAAAAACCGACCCCATATTTTGCCATAACTCGTGTGTTAAAACCTGGCAAGGGACTGTCATTGTCCCTGGCACAGAGTGGTTTGCTGAGGATGCTTTATACAAACTCCACGGAGAAAACCTCTCGTCTGAAGAACCAGAGGAGGGGTCGGAGATGAGGAAAACACACAAGTGGGTGGAAATTAAGACTAAATGCCATTTATCAAAACTCGGAGATGCGGTTGGAGTGATGTTCAGTGGAAAACTTTATGGCCTTCGATGCTATAAATAGCCCTGATGCTGTTGCCTTATATATCTCAGAAATCTGGAAAAAGTCAGACAAGGAACGGGATTACTGAAAAGTGATAGGATTCACGAAGCCAACGATTTGGTGAAAATACCAATTAAATGGGCAAATACCTAGCAGGCTGGATGACTGGGGGCAAGAGCAGAGGCACACATTCGTGACACTGGGAGAATAAAAGGAGACGGGAACCCGAGGCTGGAGTCGGTGGGACAGGAAATGCCAGCACCTCTGAAAACCAAGTCAAAGCGCACAGATTCCCGGGGACCAGAAAAAAGTAGCAAATCTGAAGTCCCCGATCCTTAGCCATCAGCTCAGTCCTCAGGAAGGGCCTCACCCAGCGCTTGGGGTGGCCTAGGTGGCCTTGGGGGGAGTTCCACCTTACAACCTTGGGCAAAGTGTTCCAGCGCAGGGAAAACGCAGAGCGGCCGCAGAGCGGCCGTGAGCTCACATCACACAAAGCCAGGGCTGGGGAGGGCCCCCGGCAGGGCCACGCCTGGAATCAGCCCCCCAGAGAGGTTCCCAGGGCTTCGCAACCAAACCCCAGCCGGTGTGTCTCGGCAGTGAGAGATCCTACAGAGGGGGTCTGGGGAGGCCAAGGCCTGGCCGGGCAGGGCGGGGGGCTGGAGAGCAGCGTGGAGATGGCTCTGGGGGACATGGGGAACCCCAGGACCACGATGCCTCAGACCCGGCCTGTAGGCTCTGGAGGAGGGGCTTGGTGGCAGCTTCTAGGACAGAGACCACCTCGTGGGGGCACAGCTCAGCAGAGGGCCGGTGGTGGGGGGCCCAGCCTGGAGGACCCTTGATCAGCAGCCCTCATGCCGCCCACCAGGCCCTTCCCCTGACCACYACCCCCATGGACGGCGCCGCCTGCTCCTCGCCCCACCCTGGCCCTCGGCCTTGGTTCAGAGAGACCCCTGCATTCACCAAAGCCCTGTTTTCTCTCTCTTGATCTCACCTGTCCCTGACCCCTGTCTGTGGCCTCCTCGGGGACCTGTTTTTTACCTAACTAAATTAACCTACTCAAGAGGACTTATCTGGGCAAACAGGAGCCCTCCAAAGTACAGAAGACTGTGGGGGAGGGCGGGGCCGGGGCGGAGGAATTTGTTCCCACGCTGGCTCAAGCCTCTTGCTCCCAGGAAGGGAGGCTAGCGGGAGCAGACCTGGTGTGGGGAGGTTTCTGTGCTGGGGGGGGACTGTGAGGAGAGCCTGGAGAGTCAGGACAGCGGTAGAGGAGGACAGGGATCAGGGAGGGGGTGTCCTGGAGGATGAGTGGGGCTCTGGGTAGGACCAAGCAGGGCTTCCAGCAGGGCCCAGGACTTGGGCAAGAAGCGAGTCTGGGGGGCCTTCTCCCTGGGGCAGGTCCCCGACCAGCAGTAAGGGAGGAGGGGCTCCTGGCCCTTGAGATGGCCTGAAGCTGGCCTCCCTGTCCTCCTGAGAGTGGGGACCAGTCCTCTCAGGCCCACTTCAGAGCTGAGGAGCTGAGCCTTGACCCCTGGCCCCACAGCCAGCTGGGTGGGGTGGGGATGGGGGGAAGGCCTTGGGGGGGAAGGTCCAGGGGCTCCTGCTGGGGTTGGACAGGCTGGCTGGCACCGGCTCTGCTGTGGACCCACCGGGCTCTGAGGGATTTCCTGTCCCCTACATCCGAGGTCAGCAGGATTGCGCTTGAGTTGTTTATGGTCCTGATGACTGCATTGATAACTGCGATAATGTGGGGCCCAGGCCATGCCACTGTGCCCTCTGGGCCCAGCAAAGCCCTTTCCCAGGGTCTGTCCCCACGGGGGACAGCGGGTACCAGGGGGACAGTGGTCACTGGCAGGGGATGGGCTGGGCAGGCTGCCATCAGCTGAGCCAACATGGGCTGGTTGCTGCCTCTGCTCTGGTCGGTGCACCTCTGCCAGCCCTGTGACAGACAGCTGGGGTCCCAGTCAGGCCCTGGGAAGGGCCGGGTTCTGGGTACAACAGGGGTGCTGCTTGCTACCTGGGAAGCCCCAGGCAGGGGATGCCCCTCAGACCTGATGAGCCCTGGGACAGGGCCCATGCAGAGCGGTGCCTGTGGGGCCTGCAGYGGGATCTCCCAGCAGCCCTGGCCCAGAGCCGCCTGCTGAGGCCGGGGGGCTCTGAGACCCACCCCAGCTTGGCGCCTCAACTGGCCCCCAGGGATCAGGGACTCCAGCTCTGCACCGAGGCAGCACGCCCTCACCTTAGCCCACCCCCGGCCCTTGGTCCACCTGGGGCTTCATCTTCATGCTCAGACCCCAGCAGGCTCAGGCCTGGGGAGGGGGACTTCCCAGGAGATGCTGTCTGCCACCCATGGTCACTCCCAGAGGACACCAGGCCCTTAGTCCGGGTGCCCCGAGCAGGATGCCCAGGCCGGTAGCCTTCCCCTGGCTCCGTCATGGCTCCCTCTGATGCGCTTGGCTCAGCTCTGTGCAGAGCTCCTGTGCAGAGGGAGAGCCAAGGCCAGGCCCGGCTCACAGATGGCTCCTAGCCTCTGAGCCTGACCCTAGTGAGACCTCCACTTGTGGACTTTGGTTCCCGTCCTGCCAGATGGGGCCATCTCCTGCTGGGCCAGCTACCTGGAAAAGGCCACAGGACCACCCCAGTCAGGCCTGAGCTGCTTCACGGTGACCGGGCCCTCCAGCAGGGCTCAGGTGTTGGGGATGTACAGCCCAGCAGGCCAGGCCAGGAGCAAGGGTCCCAGTGGGTACTGAAGCCTGGGCCTCCCTCTCCCTCTGTGATCCCATTTACCTCTTGGGGTCCCAAGGCCTCCCTGGGCCAGGGGCAGCTTGTACCAGGTGGGGAGGGGACAGACTGCAGGCCCCAGGGCCCAGGAGTGGGCAGGGCAGGATGGAGAGCGTCCTGCGTGGGCTGCACCCTGCCCCACCTGCTCAACTGTAGCCTGGATTGGGAGTAGGCTAGAGCCTGTTGTTGCCAAGGCAACGGAGCAACCGTGCTCCCTGCCCAACCAAAATTCCTCTATTTTTAGCTTCTCAGTTACTTTCAGATAAAATCCATGTAGACAGACGAGCTCTCTGGCAAGATAACAGCCCGCCTCAAACCACAGAGACTTCAAAGTGGAGCCGCAGGGGGGCCGTGGCCTGAGAAAGGCCCTCCTGCAGCTCAGAACCTCCTGTGGCTCCCAGGCCGCCCTGCAGAGAGGCTAGGTGACAGACCCAGTCTGGTAGGCCCAAGTGTCCCCATGACCTGCCCCATGTGGGACCTGGCACCCGGGAGCACACCCAGGCCCTGTACTCCACTCGAACACCCTATTCCCAGTTAGGACCCTACYGTGGGAACTGAAGGTGGCCTAGGTGGGGGCCAGGAGAGCCCATCATTCCCTCCTGAGCTGACCCCACCTTYGTACCGCCGGGTCCAGGATAAGCCAAAGATGCCCCCACCTATAAACCTGCCTCAGCTGGGTTCTCCCGTGCCCTGCCCAGAGTGGAGGCTCCAGGCAGCTGGAGCCAGGGGACAGCAGGGACCAGGCAGCTCCCGCCACCCCTCCACTTAGGACACCCTGCGGAGGCTCTTGGAGCACAAAGCCCACTTCGGAGGTGCAGGAGAGAGCAGGGTTGTGGTGACGGCCCAGCAGGTCGACCTTGTGCTCTCTCCCGCTGCTGCTCAGGGCAGAGGCAGGGCCACAGGCCTGGAACGAGGCAGAAGCAGCAGCCTGAGGAATCCTCCTCCCTGAGGGGCAGCGCACGGTGGGCCCGCACTGCCCACCTACCCAGGATGCGGTTCTCATGAACTCTAGGAGGGGTTGGTGGGCACARGCTGCCACTTGCCAGGAAAGATGCTTCAAGGGAGCGTGGAGGGAGGGGATGACACAGCCATGACCAGCCCAAGTCTTGAATGCACACGTCGCAGTGATGCCTGGCCAAGGGCCCAGCGGGCGGCCTACCTTGTCTTCCACCCGGTTCAGGCGGGCGCCGAGGGTGTTGCTGCCGCGGTCCTTGCTCTTTTCTACGGGGTGAAGCATGGGAGTCAGGGAGGCGTATCACCAGGTAGGGCAGGTCCCTCCCCACTGCCTCAGGGAGCAGGGGTGGGTAGCAGAGGGCCAGAGGCCTGAGCCCAGGAGAACGTCACTTAGAGCCCTCGGTGGAGGGCACAGGCTGGTGTGGAGGGAGGGCAGTGCYGCCATGGCCTGAGCTCCATCCTGCCCCCCAGTTCCACGATCTCCATGAGGCCTTGCACGGGGGCTGCCGGGCGGGTGTGTGCCGTCTGCCACGCAGACCTGTGACTCCAGACCCCATGGGGCCGGGGATGCCTGCCGGCTCAGTGGCACCCCAGCTCATGTGTGAGGTCCTATTTGAACTGGGCTCGGGCCACCCTGAGGAACAGGCCTTGCCCTGTCCCCCTGGTGTGACAGCCCCACGAAGTCACCCCGTCCTTCCAGGACCCCCTCTGAAGAGTGGCCCTCGGAGCATGTGTCCACACCAGATCCTGCTGTCAGTGCCCAGAGCTCGTCATCTGAAGGACCCAGGTGGGTTGTCACATGACCAGAAAGTTCCTGGGTGAAGTGTGCCCAGGGCCACTTGGCACAGGGTGCCTYCCTGTCTCTCCCACTCCGTGCCTTGAGCCTGTTCTGGCCTGAGGAGAGGCAGAGGTGGGCACAGGGCTGAGGGAGCATCTGGAGGGGCTGCCACATCCAGGGGCTTGATGCACGAACCCACCTGAGACAGGGATGAACAGGGAGGGCTTTCCGATGGACTGGTCCAGCCTGGGAGGGAAGGAGACGGAGACCAGCTCACACTTGGCCCAGGTACCACGTGGATGCCCAGTGAGGGTGTGGCGGATGGGCTGATGTGCCCAGCAAAACGACATGCCACCCGCCCACACTGGACACTCAAAGACACCGCCCATAGGCCTGCCAGGCGGCTTCTGAGCCCCCAGAGACTTAGGTGCCTGAGAGCCTGGCAGGAGGCTCAGAGAGGAGGGCAGCAACTGGTCATCTCGTAGACTCCCACCCTGGTGGGGCGAGTGGGTCAATGATAGGGGCCCTGAACCCTGGCCCCATTGGCGACTGGGGGCGATCCATTCTCCCAACTGGGCCCTGTAACCCGGGGAGTGAGGTTCCCAGGTTAGCCCACTGGTCTAAACCTGTGCTGGTCCCCAAGGACTAGGCTGCTCCCATGGGATCAGGATCCAAGCCAGAAACCCAGAATGTGCCGACTCGCAGCTGTCAGGTCCCCAGCTCCAGTCCCAGTGGTAGGCCGACCCGCGGGTGGTCAGACCCAGGGAGGGAGAGACCCTGCATGGAGGAGACCCCGGGGGAGCAGGTGTCTTGGGGAGAACGCAAGTCTCTTCCCTCCCTGGGACCAGCCAAGGGAACAGGCCTTGTTCACTGTGAGGCGAGGGCAGGGCTGGCTGGGGCGAGACTCACATGGTGGCAACCCCCAGGTCCCGTGTCCCCGCCACCCCCCTGTGCCCACCTTCTCTGCAGCTCTTTGATGCGCACCATGAGGTTGAGGTGGCCTTGAGAGTACTGCTCGATGACATCCCGCACATCGTAGGGCTTCCTTGCTTGCTGCAGGCCAGAAAGACACGCGTCACATCCCCTGTGTCCCACGGGGGGACTCTAGGCAGACCCCCGTCCTGCACATGCTCAGCAGCAGAAAACTGCACTTGGGTGTAGGCTGGTGACGCGGCCCTGGGCTTTGGCTTCTCTTTCTGTCAGGGGGGTGGCTAAGCCTGGCTCCGTCCTTCTGTAAGAGGGATGCTCAGCCCTCTCCTTTCTCTGCGAGGTGAGATACTAAGTTTTGTTCCCTGTAAGATGAGTGCTGGGCCTTGTTCTTCTTTTTTGGAGGATGGGATGCTGAGCTCTACCTTGCTCTGCCTGACAGGGAGGGAAGGAGAGTGGATAAGACGTGGGGTTAGAAAGCCCAGGGAACTCGGAACCGGTACCTTGCCAGAGACAGAGGGGCTGTGGCTGAGGCCAGGGCCTAGGCCTCCCCCTAGCACACCATGATGGTGACTTTGAGTCGAGCGAGCGAGCGGCCAGCTGAGAGGCTCTCCCTGGTGTGCTGGGGCCGGGTGGGGGTGGGGTGAGTGGGGGATGGGGGGCCCGGGGACTGCTCCGTCCAGTGCTCAGGGTATTGCAGGTCTGGTCCTGGGCTGGGTGGGTCACTGTGCTTGTGCCCAGCCTGCTGGGAGCCTTTGGGCTACCATGTCTAAGTGTGTGTGCAAACGTGTGTCAGGAGCTTCTGCAGAGACATGTGCAGCCGGAGAGCGGGAGGGGGCAGGGCAGTGTGCAGGGCGGCAATGCCCTGCTGGCTGCCTGTGGCCAGCAGCATCCCAGGCTGCTGAGGCTTATCTTGGAGCTGCTGAGCTCCCGCCAGGGTCTGCTCAGGGTCTGTGAGGCCTCTGTCAAGTGGCTGCCTGGGGCCTGGCTGGAGAGACCACCTCAGGTTCTCTCCAGATCTCATGTCCCCTGGCTGCAGCAGGAGCCAGAGATAGGCTGACCTGTCCAGACAGACCGACAGTGGACGGGGGCATGCAAGGCGAGCTCCAGGGTCTAAGAGCCCTGGCTCCACAGGCCAGACACAGGGGCGGCTGGCTGGGGGCTTATCGGCTGCCAGGCAGGCAGGGGCGTCAACCGCCACTCCTGCAACTGGAGGCCAGCCGGGGTAGGTGGGATGCAGGTGGGCAAACCGCTGATGGGGAAGTAGAGGTATTCCCAGGACTGGCATGGCTGAGGCAGCCCTGGAGCCCCCAAGCTCCCCGGTCCAGAGCTCCTCCTATCCCTGCGTCCCTCCTGGTGCCTGGAGGCTCCGGCCTGAGAACCAGCCTTCAGAGGGGGCCCCAGGCCCCACCCTTGCCCAGGAGCCCTGTCCTGCAAAGGTCCTGCTGCTGCCTGGTTGATTCAAGGCTCCCAGGGCCGGGGGTGTCAGTGAGAAGCGGAGAGCTGAGGTGTGGGTCTCCCAGCTGCTCTGGAAGATTCTTAGGCCACCATAAGGACCTGGGCCTGTGTCCTGAGGCAGAAAAGGGGTCCACGGCCTGGAGGGCAGTGCAGGGCTCTTGGCCTKTCCTCTGGGCCCTGCACCTAGGCCACCACGTAGTTTTCTTGCCTGTGTCACAATGATGGGCCTGCAAGAGCCACTGTAGATGATCGCCTCATCTCAAGTGGACCTTCCTGGGAACCATGAGGGTCCACATGCTCTGCTGGATGTCCCCAGGAAGCCCAGTGCCCACCCCAGCACGGCCCCACAATCCCAAGTAGGTCCTGGGCTATTCTGGGCTGGGGGTCTACCCTGTCCCCACCGAGGCCCACTTTCCTGGTAGAATACTCAGAACCCTTTGTGTCATCAAGGTGAAATTAGCAGCTCTAGCTGTCACTACCAAGCTGCTGTCTGGCAGGGGAGACACACCTGGCCATTCCTTTGCTCTTGGGGGACTGTCCTGTCTGCACCTGATCTCCAAGGGACTTCCTGCTGCCTGTTCTCACCTCTGGTGCCCTGCGTGAGCTCCCACCCCAGCAGTCAGGACTGAGGGCCCTCTGTGCGGGTGCCAGGGTAGGGGATCCACATGGCATCGCCACACCTCATCCATGGCATCGCCACACCTCATCGCCACCCCCATCTCCCCAGACGTCACTGGGCAGACCTCCAATGCTGGCTGAGAGTGGGCTCTCTTCGTCTAACGGGATGACAGAAGCCAGCCTGCCCCCAGCTGCATTCTCTAGGGATACCCCCACCCCACGGAGGCTGGCAGCCCAGAGCTGCAGGCCTACCCAGCTGGGAGACCCGCTCACGGAGCAGGGCAGGACTCCTGCCTTCCCCAGACCTGCACAGTGGAGGGCCTGGGTGTGGAGAAGGTTGTGGGGCCCTTCCCAGGTGGTTTGGGGCAGGTCCTGCCATCTCTGGGTCACTCCAATGGTCACCACCTGTCCCTTGCTAAGGCAGCCTTGTACGACCCACAAGAGGACAAGTAGAGTGAGCCCATGTGGTGCCACCTTCCGGTTAGTGATGAGGGAGGCCGTGTGGGCGCCCACAGGTGCCCAGGCCAGGCCTCAGCAGAGGTGTCCCGGGCCAGGCCTTCTGTGGTGGTGGGCAAGGACTTCCCAGGGACAGCAGTGAAGCCCTCCCAGGGTGCGGGTGATGGTCCTGCATGGCCCTGCCCATGCAGCTGGCAGGTGGAGACCCTGGCAGCCCCCACTGTGGGCAGGAGAGAGTACGAGGGGCTGGTGCTACTGCAGCGGCTGCCTGGGGCAGGCCGAGGGCAGACAGCTGGGCACCGGACTCACCTGGAACTTCTTCTTGGCCACAAAGTACTGCATGCGTCGAATGACCTTGATGGTGGCTCGATGGTGCTCCCGGAGCCTGTGGTGGGGAGTGGAGAGGAGGGGTGAGCAGCCACCTCTGCTGGTCATCCTGGCCACCCTGTGAGAGGTGCCAGTGGCCCTGCTGCCCACAGACAGACGCTCCAGAAACCAGGAGAATGTTCAAGTCCTGGTGCTCGAGGGGAGGCAGGGGACAGGGTTTTGGAACAGGGATGGGTCCACCTCACTGTGAATGGGAGGAAGGCCCTTTCTGTTGGTCCTTCAGAAGTGGGTGGAGTCGGGGCCTGGGGTTTGAAGGCCTGGGCCTCAGGCTCACAGCACAGTAAGGAAGACTCCCTCCTGGAGGCCGTGTGGGTGGCACAAGCACCTGAGGCCCAGGACCCCCGCCGGTGGCCATGTTACCAGCTGCACTAGCCGGCAGGCGCTCGGGGAAGCCAAGACAAGCCAGGAAGAAGCACTGCCCCCGGGCCGCTCTGCACGGGGCACAGCATGGGTCTGCTTCTAAAGTGCCTTCTAGAAACGAGGTTTCTTCAAGAAACACCATGGGAAAGAGAAACACGAGGTTTGACACATGAGTGCAYAAGGAAGGAAACACCAATGTGGAGGTCACGGGAGTTTCCTTCCGTCCACAGGGCTCACGCCTGACCAGCCCTCCTGCTGGACCTTTACAGTGATGACCAGAGTACACCGTGCGATAGCAGCCRGCCGTCGAAGGCTTTTAGAGAATGCAGGACTCAGAGGGCCAAGATCCCAGCAGGAGGGGACACAGGCCGAGGTGAGCCCACACTCAGGCTGCGTGTCCTCCTCATCAGGGGAAATCACTGCACGCAGGACACCCGGGCTACTTGGCTGAGAGGAGACCGGTGGAGTCCAGGGCCGCCAAGCTGCCAGGAGATGAGCAGACAAGACCCTCGTGGGCAGGCCACAAGCTGTTTCCCTGGAGCCCTCCGAGAACTCCTGATCTGTCGTGGGGGTGAAGCAGAGCGAGGAAGCTGTCTCGGGTGCAGAGCCAAGCAGAGACCTCCCCAGGTTCGTGTCTCTGGGGAGAGCGTCCTGGGGATTCAGATGGACTCACAGACCCCCACACCCTCAGTCAAGCCTCAGCGGTCTCAGCCCCGACGGGAGCCAASTGCCCTGAGCGTGCCCTGTTCTTGCACGCCAGGAGAGAATCCTGCAGAGGTCAACATCACCAGGGCTTTCCATTTGCTTTTCATACACGAAGGATTAAAAGTCAAGGGAAAAAACAGACCTTAGAAATAGATCTGAAGTCATGGCAACGTAGAAGCCTTGTGGCTCCTTCCGACGAGAGATGGAGTCTGCTTCCCTACGACTTTGGACCGGCTTTGTGACTGAACGTGACTGTCACAGAGTTGTGGGAAACTCGTGCTGTGTGTCACTCACATGCTGTTGGGGAGTGGCTGTGTGAGCCAGCCTGAGCTCCGTGGTTGGAGGAGCCTCGTGGAGAAGAGAGGTGCCCCAGCCAACAGCCACGGCACCTACCCGTAGACGGGAGAGATGCTGTCTTGGACCATCCAGCACCAAGCAGGCTGCCAGATGACTGTAGCTGCCTGAGTCACCCTGAGCAACGCTGGCAGAACCACCTCCCAGTTGAGCCAAGTCCAAATTCCTCACCCACAGAGTTGTAAGCAAAGAAAACAATTGTGTGAAACCACTATATTTATCTGTGGTTTGTGATGTAGCAACAGATAACTGATAGAGAAATTAGGATTGGTGATTTTGATCTCTTGAAACACATGGCATTGATTTTGGATCCAGGCGCTGTGCAGGGACAAGAGGCGGATCACAAGACATGGGCCTGGCGATGAGAGTTACAGGCTGCCCCTGTAACTGGGCGAGACCTCTAGGTGTCCCCAAGGGCTGAATGCACTTTGCACTAAAGAGGAATGTGAAGACCGTGGGCGGAGGGGCAGACTGCGGTGGGTTAAGGATGGGTACAGAGTCTTGGCGATTCCTCCACTGAGCGCTCGAGTCATTTCCGCCATGGACCACTTGCTTGGGCTTTGTCCCCGAGAGGCCCTGTGGTTTCACTGACCCCCTCACAATGCTGCTGCCTCTCGGAGAAGTCTGAGTTAGCCTGCTGGAAAAGCCACGGGAAGGAGAGCCGGGGTGCCCTGACTGACAGCCGGGCGCTCTAGACATGTGAGGCGGAAGCCACCAGCTGCCCATGGCAAGCCCCAGCAAGCCCACCAGCTGAGCAGCCCAAACCACTGACCCACAGACTCAGGAGCAAATAGCTGGTTGTGGTTCGCTTCTGAGTTCTTAGAGAGCTTTAAAATAACCTTGACAAATAKGCTCAAGAAAACCGACGAGGAGATGGGGAATTTCAGCAGAGATAAAATGGAAAATGGAAATTCTAGAACAGAAAGGGCAAGAAAGGAACCGAGGATGCAGTTGGTGGGTCACTCGYAGGGGCAGTGCAGTAGAAGAGCTGCCCACAAATCAGAGGGAAGTGGCAATGGAGCATGGAGAGAAAACAGAGATGGAGAGAGAGGTGGAGCCAATAAGAAAGAGGGTAAGATGGTAGACGGCACGCATTGTAAATGGTCAACATCCCAACTAGGATCCTCAGATCAGAGGAAAAGCAACCATAGAAATGCGATTGAAAATCAGAAACCCAAAGATTGATGGTAAGACGATAGGAAAAAAAAWATATATATATCCTAGTATAGCTGAATGGAAACAGGTATCCATGAACTAGCATCAGGCCAAGTAGACCTTAAGCATTCCTAGAGATAAAGAAGAGTAGTTCACAACTGTAAAAGTGTCAAGTCAGCAGAAGAGATCAACTCTGTCTGCACACATCTATAAACATGACCCTAAAACATAGAAAGCAACGCAGCAAAACGAAGAGATGAAACAGAAAGTCCTCCACCACGCCCCACCACGCCCGCCAGAAAAGCACCGACCAAAAGCCGGATGTGGACAGCTCGAGGGGGGACCTGTGAAGTAGTGATCCCCCAACAGAAGGCCACACAGAGCACTGATCCAGAGACCAGACCCAGGGTGTGAAAAGCTGGTGCCCACCCACTTCTAGGAATTGAGCATATTCTCCAGCCACTGTGAAGTGAAACTAGAAATCAGTGAAAAAAAATACATACACGAAACTAGAAAATCCCCAAGTAAGTCAATGAATTAGAATAATAAAAACCTAGGAGATACTAAGGAGCATAATTGATGAAATAAAAAATGGACATTATATTGAGGAGAATTTGGTCAGAATTTGCTTCTTCGAAGAGGCTAAAAAATGGAAAAAGTTTTAGCAAGGTTGATAGAGCCTGTGATGTCAGGGCTTGAAAATGGAATAGGGACCGTGGATCCAGGGAGATTGGAAAGCCTATGAGGAGCACGTGAACAAGAATCATCTTGGTGATTTAGATAAAACAGATTCATTCATCAAAACCACAGTCTACACAAAGAAAACAGGAGAAATAAATGTATCAGTTATCCAATATTAATTAAACTGGGAATTTTAATGATCTTCCGACAGAGAGAGCTCAATCTTGATGACTGTCAGTGGGCTTTTCCACACAGTTAAGGAAGAAATCCCACCAATTTGACCCGAATCTCCTCAGAAGGTTTTTATGAGGCAGTGTAGCCTTGATGTCCACATCTGACAAGGGTGTTGGAGAAAGAGAACTCAGGGTGGATCCCTCCCAAGAACCAGATGCACGTATCCCAGACCCGGTGGCAGTTAACTGGATCCAGCCAGGCCTGAGCCAGGTGCGCCAGGTCCCTGCAAGGTTGGGATCAACAGCTCACTGCATCGGCACAATCGGGAAGAACCTAGAATCCACTTGAAAGATGCAAAAAAGCATCTGGTAAAACTTGAGACCCATTCTTGATGGAAACCACAAGTCTCCACGCACCAGGAGCAGAAGGAAACGCATGATCTAAACAAACAAGAAAGCAAGGAGCAGAAGAAACGGAGACAAACAGACAGACCAACCCAGCCCTGAGTACACATCCCACTTCACGTCAGAGGGCTGTGTCAAGGTGAGGAACGGAGTCCGGGTGAGGGTGGCACACAGGGAAGAGCAAAACTGCCATTGTTTGGAAATGATGCAATCAGGTGGGAAAAATACACAGGGATCCTCGGATTAACAGATGGATTTAACCAGGATTCTGGTTTTAAGGATCATCTATAACAATCAGTTACTTTCCTCTTTGCCGGTAACAAACAAATAGAACATGAAATAAAAAGAAATCAATTATAGCAGTAAAATACCTAAGACATCCATCTATTTAAAGACGAGCTTGACCTCTGTTCTGAGAGGCATGAAAGCCCAGGGAGAAGTTAACCAAGACTCCTGGGGGCACGTGAAGTGCTCGAGGGGAAGGAGACGCTACGCAAGGTGACCTCCCCGTGCCAGGGATGGGTTCTGCTCGACTTCAGACTGTTTTTGTGACTCTGCTGATCCTGAAATATGTTCGAAAAGAATTTGAAGAACAACAAAACTGGAAGATGCAGCCCCAGAATCGAAGACTCTGTCGGGTGGGGGGTGCTGGGGCGCGTGCACACACAGGAAGGGGAGGAAAGAAGAAGGGAAAGATCTCTGCAGACGGCGTGGTGCTGGCAGAGGACCAAATACGGTGAGGGGACGGAGCAGCACATTCAGAGGCTCACCACGCAGGTGGCCCTCGGCCTTACCACCTGGGCTGCTGCAGCCGAGTGGAGGAGAGCTCTGGGCACCTGCAGGGCGACGAGGAACCCAGAGCCCACCCCGCGCCAGGGTGCAGTGAAGTCGGGGCCTGGACAGGACGGCAGGGGAAGGCGTGTGCCACCCACAGGACACCAAGGGCTCTCCAATGCAGGCCAGAAGCACAAACTTTAAGAGAAAAGCTCTTGACCAATTAGAGCCCGGGGATTCCTCCCGCCTGATCCTAGGCCTGACCTGCCCAGGGATCTCGCTCCGTCTCTGATACCCCAACCCGCTCACTCGGAGGTCTCCACAGACCTTTCACTGCAAAGGGTCCTCCTGGGCTCGGGCTAGGGCTTTGGGAGACTCTGCGTGACTATCA